TTCTATCTAATTATAGTCCTGTTTTGATACTCTTAGAGTTCTTATCAGAAAAAAACAATCTAAAAATAGATACTTCAACTAGAGGTAGCAGCTTTTTTTAAAAAAAAAACAAATGAAAAATAAGACAAATAAACAACCAGCTGAACAGTTATGTCTGTTTCCTAATAGTAAATATAGACTGTGTAAATGAAAAACCAATGATATTGAATTTCATTCTGAATTTATCCCTTTGGCGGCGGTTTCTTTGAAAAATTTTTCAGTCACTAATGAAATAGTGGAGTGTATAAGTCAATTTTAATTAGATAAATACAAGCCATATGACCTTCAGAAGGATACCTAAAGAGAAGTAACTATATATTTCTGATGATCAAAGAGAATTAAAAATTTCAAAGGTGTCTTGCTAAAAAATCACAGAGGCGAGTCGGTTTTCCGACTTCTTGTTCTAAAGATCTACGACTCTTGTTCCCTTATTGTGGCTTTTGTAGCTTTTTGTGTTTTAAACTTGAAGGAATGAGAAGCAGCTTTTGTAAAACAATTGACTGTCACCACAGATTTTACTTAGTATATCTCAGTATTCAATAAATTAAGCTTATATGACGGATAGTATACTTTCCCCAATTAATGTGCTATATACGAGTCTTTCATTACAACTCATAGTACTGAGTGTGTAACTAACTCACTAGAGCTGTCAGCTGAATAGGCATTGAAGATAAAGGAATTTTTCACTTAAAAGAATTCCAGAATAATTTCACTGAGCTGCTACAAAAATGATTCATGACTTCTGTTGCCTCGTTTCTATTCGTAGAATAAATGAATGCGTATAGTCGTTCCTATTCTAAACAATCAAACTGTATCTTCATCATTTATGCTTGTCTTTATTGGTCATTTGTGACATTGTAAACGTAAGCCTATAACCGAGTTATAATAATAATAATGACTTTGGACACCATCACGCTTTTAAATGTGGGTAATTCTATAGTTTGGTTTGTAAAGGTTAGATATGTTTTTACGAGTTGATCACTGATTGATATCAGTCAGAGAACCATTGAATGGTGTACGAGCTTGCTTTGTAACCGGAAGGTCCTGGGTTTGAATACCAGTGGGTGCGTACCGCCTATGATTCCTAAAGAGCTTGGATGAAACAGCTGTCCAGTACTCCCTGATTTCAGTGGGTAATTCTCTTAAGTAGGATTGATTGGCAATCCGTAATTACTTTTCTTCGCGCTTCTAATTTTATTCACTTGATCTGTTCTGTTTACCTACCTTATACAAATCTAAGGATTATTCGGTTGATGCATTGTTTATTTATAATTGTCTTATCAAAATCACAAGAAATCAAATCTCCATGTTTAACTTAATTTGCACAGTAAATAAACATCTGCTAATTACCTTTCAAAAAGCTAAAATTCATCAACGTATCAGGAGAAAGTGTGTCAAGTCAGCTAGTGGAACACCATGAGTGAGCTCTAATCTTAAGTGGTAACTGTATCACTTACTCAGAAGCAGGCATATCCAGCTAGTTCAGCAGACACAGAATTGCCAGTGAACACCAACCCTCAAAAGAAGTAAGCAGTTTTGGAAGCCATAGAAGTTACTCAATGCCTGGAAAGCAGAAGAATAACATTCCATTCCATTCTGAAACACTGAAAATCGACTTCGAGACCTCAGTGGACACACTCAGTGCACTTTCGCAAAATGTCTGGAGGAAAAGAAAGAAACCTATCACCTATTAGAAGAAAGGTTACCATGTAAGATTGCCAAAGAAAGTTAACTTAAGCGTATCCAAGAAATGGCACAAGATCACGCTTCAGTAAATCGCCTCATTTTGGGAAAACGGAATGATGCATTGGATAGAAAAGGCTGAATTCAGGAAAGACAAATAGTGTACTTATCAAATCGCTACATATTCATAATTATCAAACAAGGTGTAGAATGGACTACAACACTTTACTCAGTTTTTCTTCAACTTTGTAAAGGCCTTTGACAGCGTTTGACCTTGAAGTAATTTGGCAACTGCTTCAACGATACGGAGTGGAAACATTTATAGACCTAATTGAAAAATCAAGTGATTCACACAAGACAGTTTTGTGAAGCAGTCATTACTGGCATCATTTTCAACTGCAAACTTCCATCATCGTCTGCCTCGTCTGCATACTTGAGATCGGATCGTAAGCCAAAAAGACTGAACGACAAACAGCTCTGGCAACTAAGCATTCAAGAACCTACTGCCTAACGAATATGCAGAAGGGAATTGAGATGAGTTGGACATGCAGTCGGTGACATCATACATCAGGCTGCTGAATGGAACCCAGGTGGCAAGTGACAAGTTGCGTGTCTGAGGGTGATATAGAGGAGATCATGTGAAAAGGAAATAAGAGACTGTGGACAATCGTAGAGCCAGCTTATAAACACACAGCAGAAAAAAGGAGTGAAGTGGAGGATCTCTATGTTTTAATTAGAACCCAATGGATGAATAATAATAACATCCAGCTGACAAGTGGTGGAATGAACAAAACACGAATCCTGAATTCCACTACTAACCGCCTTTATTTACATAACCTTAAAGTGGTTTCTGCCTTATATTCCTTGTCAGAGTGAATTTCTCCGCAGCAATCAATAAGAAGGAGACTAAAAGCTAACGAATAACCTAGCTGTAGTAACAGCATGTTGCTGTATGTAAACAAAATGCGTGTCTGTTGATTTCATTGCACAAAGTTGCTTGAAACGGATGAGAAATAATAAGTCTGTCATTTTGTTTGACATTATTTGGAAAACATGGAGTACGAGCTACCTTCTCCAGACACGCACACTTTACTGTTATGTCAGGAAGAAGGGGACTTACATGAAAGACTCCACATTGATTGACTCCGTCACTTTAATTTACTCCGTTTATTTTGGTTGTACCCGAAATGTATAATGTAACAGTTCACTTACATAAGAACTTTGTCAGAATCATTATCTCAAAACGTTAAAGGAAGAAGGATAGCTTAACTGGTATTCAGTATTTGGTGCCTTACAAGTGATTGTAATAGAAAGCGATAGAACAAATTCCTACTATAATTCATATTAACACTTCATTTTTACAAAGTAATGACGATTTACCGCGGTAGATTCATGGAAGTTATGACTCTTCAAGAATTACTTTGTGGGGATTTGATTTGTTCCACGTTTCATCGCGGACTGATATCAATCAGTCCACGATGATCAGTCCACAGAGTGAGAGAAATTTGCTCGGATGAATGTCTTGACGAGGAGCTTAACAATATTAAACGGTTGCTAAGTGAGTTTGGTTATCCCGAAAAGTTTATTGATAAGAATATGAATCTAAAACCAAAACAGTCCAAGTTACCAACAGTGCCAAAGAAAGCCTTGTTCTTACAGATGCAGTTCCTAGGAGACAACACAAGTGAGATACTAACACATCGCCTCAGGAATGCGGTAAAAAGAGCATTCCCTGCTGCCTAATTACACTGTGTCTTCAAAACCACTCCTCTTCTGCGTTCGGGAATAAAGGACAGACTGCCTAATTTCGCCTCTTCCATGTGTATCTACCAATTTAACTGCTCCTGTGCAGTGAGCCAGTTACATAGACCGTACAATTAAGCGTGTTTCTCGTCGAATTTCCAAACATCACCCTGCCTGGTTAAGCAAAGGTCAAACAAAATCTATTCGCAGCGCTATTCGGGCGCATCTTGTGGAGACAGAACACAAGATTGACGTTAATCATGCTTTCAGGGTCATTTACCGCATACCTACGAATCTCAATTTTGCTTTAAGAGTTCGACTTCTAAATATTGCTGAGGCTGTGGGGATTCATATTAATAAGCCTAATTTATGCACCCAAAAGAAGTTAGTTCAGTCATTATCATTACCTTGGCCATCCAGGTTTGAATAATCCAGAATTTTTGTGAAATTTCCCTAATTTTAGTTGATATTCTATTCGCTATTATATCTTTATTATCATTATAATTTAAGCATCTTCAATGAAGTGCAATAGCATTGATCATACTTTGCAAATCGATATTATTTAAAAAAACGCTAATATTGTTATTAACTACTAATTTAAAATATTCTGTGTATATAAACATATATATATATAATTGTAGAGCCTGGAAGAGGAATTTATCGAAAAGAATATTCTTTGCTCGATTATTTTGTGTTTTATAGGTGTCTGAATGAATACTTTTGCAATATTGAAATCAGTGAATCATTGAAAACTATGGAATGCTGGATAGCTGCTTTGCCATAGTTTGGGACTCTTTAGGAGTACGCATCCATGACCTCACAGGGAATCGAACCCAAGACCTTTAGGTCAAGCTGACTGGCAGTCACAACAACTCAAGATTTTACTGTCGAATTTTTACCTTTAACGTTAACTAGATTATTTTTAGCTAGTAGAATGATGTTGTATATCGCTAACTGACCTTCATATACAATACGATAAATCTTTAAAATTATAATCTGTACCAAAGTTGTTTCTTCCTTATAATCTTTCCGCATGAATTTTTGCATAGATAAGTAAGCAACTGGAAAACTGATTCACTGATTTAATATGGTTCTTGTAAATAATGCCGACTTTGACGGATAAACTTTCTTCGTTTTAAAAATCCTTACAAATCAAAGACTGAATGTTTACTCATAACAAGTCAAACTCATCCAACTGAACCACTTTTAATATGAATAAATGCCCAACGTATTTTTAATACTCAAGTAAACTAAACAGTCTCCGAATGGCTTTCCTTTAACTTTCAAAGAGGCCTTAAATGAATGTTGAATGAGATTAATTGGATTAATAGTGATTATTTGTAATAATAAACCCTGGATTATATTCATATTGAAAAAAAAATATGCACAGTGTGCATATTTCAATCTCTTAAACTATAAATCATCATTTAGAAATTCTGTCTTACTAAACTAAACTAATCCTCTTCTGTTTTTTATTTTTAATCCTTGTCATCTTTATTTTTATCGTCTTCTTTCTTTCACTTTCTATCTGTCAGATAACTCTTTGTACAGTCGGTTACGGGGATACAGTGCCTAAAACATGGATGGGGAAAATTATTGCAGCATTTTGTGCATTGGCTGGTATCTCCTTTTTCGCCCTACCTGCTGTGAGTTTTTAATCCTATAGTCAATACGTATAGTGCCTATCTAATTCTTCTACATTGATAATTAAACGCTAACGATTTTTTGTCGTTCGACACTTTCATTCATCGGTAATATATTTGAGTGGTAAATGTCAGACTATAGGGAAGAAAGCAAAGGGTTTCTGTATACTCAGTATTAATCAGCTTAAGTGTGGACACATGCGCGGATATATCGGAAGTGAAGCAAAAAACAGTATCTGGGCAAATTTATTCACTTCCTTCTGGCAAAGAGCATTAGATTATCTGAATAAAATCCTCTTTCGTGTCTTGGTCTGATACAGAAAGAAGTAGGAAGAAAAAATATTATGCCCCATAGTAAATTTTTAAGATATTTCTGGAATCCTTAATATAGTTGCCATTACAATTTCAGAAGTTTGACAACAGACTTTTGAAAAGTTTATCACAGGCTGTCGTCATACATTATCTATCAGTAATAGTGGCTTTACTGTAGCATTCTGCAGTTGTTTTACTGCAGTTAAGAATGGTGTTGAATACCAAGTCATGTACAACCGTATCTTTATCCATTTCTATGGTGAAATTAGATTAGCAGTTACAGAAGTACTGGTGAACTTACGGTGTAAACGTCTATGTGTATGTCAGTTTCTTCTTCATTCTTTTTTCTAGACGGTTTTCTGTAAAACAGATCACTTTATTTTTCCTAAAGCTTATTCTCTTCCCCCTTAGATAACCCTTATTTGATTTTCGGCAATCACCTTCTCTCTTCAGCATTTCGCACTATGAATATCTCTTTTTAAGAACCGGATTATGTGACTTGAAGGATTTAATCTCTGCCTTTCTCCTCCAGCATAGGCATTCTCATGAGAAAAACATCCAAAGCAGATTAAATTCCAGAGAAGATGTAGTGAATACTGAGCTGTTAGGTATTTTGAGATCTTGTAGGCCTTAAGGAAGACTTCATCTTTAACCAATATCCGTTTAGAAATCAATGAAGGCTATGAAACCCTGCAAATCTATTTAGTCAGCAGTCATCACGCATTACCTTACAAACTATTGAACGATTACATATGAAAACTAACAAATTACTACTCAGGTAGTGGAATTGCAACTAAGAGAGATACATTTAGAAGTCAATCATTGATAAACAGTAGATTTGTGCTACATTTTTGTGTTTATATGAGTGTTGCTAATTCAAAATAGGTTACTAACACATCCTAAAATATTTAAAAATCAACATTAGCATTCAATAAGGGTTATTTCAAGCTTCATATGCCCCATTTAACCGGTTAATGTGATAGCCTGTAACTTCTTTAGGACTATCAGTATAACATTATTTATTTACCTTAAGAAATTAGCACTGTAACTCATAAACTTAATTTCTGATTAACTGATAGCATCAGAACGATGGTTTTATTCTTCACAAATCCATTAAGGTAGTTGAACAGAATTCTCAGGTAGTTAAAAGTATTGGAATAATAGGAATCGAATGCAGTCAAGTGGTAGGATGACTGGGACAAAAATTCAATTTTTATGTATGAATATCCAGGCATATCAAGCACTTGTTCTAAGTTAAATACACTCATGTACATTCCACAATTTAGAACCATACTCTTATACGTCACTACCAGGAATCATATCTCTCATTTCTGCCCAAGGTCTATCACTAACTACAGATGTCTTAAGTATTTTGTATGCTATTTAGAATACATAGCTATGTTTGAGTGTTGTGGAAAGCTTCTTCTTTTGATGACATGTGTCCTCATAAGTAATTATGTTCAGCTGACACGAAAACTTAAGAACCTGATAACATTTCTAGAAGAGTTGAGTGTTAACGTTTGGACTTAACTTCCATAAGTAAATGAAAACTTGAGAAAAGACTATTTAAGAATGATAATTTTGTGAAAAGCATTGACATCTGCAGAGCCAATGTTATCTTCTTCAAAGTTGCTTTTACTTATTAAAAGTGTTTTCAAATTGCTGTTAGTTTTCCTTATTAAAATCTTGTCTGCTTTTCTCCATTTCATCTTCAGAAAGCCTTTTTTTATTATTTATATCCATGAATAGTTTCATGAAGTCTCCATAGGTAGTGGGGTTCAAAAATCAAATATCCTCGAATGCATTAAGTGAATTTACTCAAAAATCATGCATGTGTTTTAGTTGGTCGTAAAACAGCGGAATTTGTACTTCTAAGCAACATGAAAATCTTTACTTCTTGAATTTTTCTAAAAATTCCTGATGTATAAAAAACGTATTTCATTTAGAACTGAATTTAAGTTGATGGTAGAAGACGGTTAGGGAGATTTTGTTGGACAACTGTTGAGAAAAGCTCCAAAACACGTAGGAATATGTAGGGGATGTTATAACAAACATTTTGTAAATATTCAGTTTTTATATGTTAATTTTATGTGTTTATTATTGTAACTTTATGGATATATGTTTTGTGCATGAATTTTGGATTAACCTTCCAGAATTTCAATTATGTTGCTACTGTTCAAACTACACTGTATGATTGTTGTGGAAATGATGGCGAAGAAAAGACATAGTCACCATGATAAAAGATAACAAAATCCTGTATGTAAATAACTTTCATAATGTTTCCTGCTATGATATTCACAGACTGTAGGTATCTAATTCACTTGTAAACCTAATTTTTGACTCAGAAATTGGATGTACGTCTAATAAAGAACATCACATCATCTGGAAGATTTAAAAGTTTACGCATAACAGCAAGACGCATACAGATGAACTAATTGTCTGAGTGACGTCATAAGCAAATCCTAGAAATTTTCCTCAAGCTAAAAGGATGGATTATATGCTTCATCTCAATCTGTCATAGTATTCCATTTCACCATCGTAAACAACAACTAACACCAATCACCATCAATGGAGGAGAATTAACAGAGGTTGCCTCCTTCACTTATCCGGGAATCACCGTTCCAGCTACAGGCCAGCGAAACGGATGAAGATGTCAAAGCCAGTCAGAAACGTGAAGGCAAGGTACGCCTTCATCAACCTGAAACCAGCTTGGAAATCTTCTGCACTCCGCTTCAACATAAAGAACAAGATTCGCATTTTCAACACCAATGTGAAGTCAATTATTCTATACGGGTCAAAAACTTGCACTGTGTGTCACGAAAAGGATTTACAACAGGTTACAGTTTTTGAACAGTTGCCTTCACTGTCTGCATACTGAAGACCAAATGGCCAGAAAGAATAAGCAACAAGAAACTCTGCAGTGGAACAAGCCAACTGAGCAAGAGCCGATCGCTCGACAAATATGTAAGAGAAAATAGTGGTGAATACATTGAGGAGGCCGTCGAATGACATCGCACGACAGGCCATTGCTCGAGTGGAATCCAAATGGTGTGACTAGTGGGTTGTCAGTGAGAGGGTGACATGGAGGAGATCGTGTGAGGAAGAGATGAGAGAGTTTGGTCAATCGTGGACCCATCTGAAGAGGACGGCAGAAAACAGAACAAAGTGGAGATCTGTTGTTGAAGCCCTATGTTCCACTTGGAACTCGAGGAAATAATAATAATAATCGTAAACAACTAAATTAATTAGATACGATGATTCTTATTTGTAGCCTGTGGTATACTTAAGGTATGAATGATTTTGAAAATCTACTGACCAAAGAAAAGAGTTTTTAACGACATCAAACGACATCATATGTTTACCTGCATTTTTATTTTGTGACATACCACAGCTGTAATTCGAGGCTAATTTTCACACAGATGTACACCATGGAATGAGCATTATAATAACTCGAAATATTCAAACTGCACATCATGTTTATATTTCAGCAAAGTTCAGAGTTATTTACAACTGAATTTAGGGGATACACTGAGTTATGTAACACTTGGAATTTCGGTCCATTCAAGTATCTTCTGTGGAAACTAACAAAGACTGTCATTTTAATTGCACAAATTATTCTTCGCGAACTTACTCAATGGACAATCGTTTAGACAATTTTCGGTCTAATACTGTCTTGTCCACTGGTGCTGCGACAAATCTGTCAGCTGCAACATACGGGGGGAAATAAGACTGACTTGTGAAAATGCATGACGACTTAATACATGGATAAACAAAATACTTTAGTTATGACTTAAATTTATTGTTCATTGTTAATTTTCTTATAATTAATAAAGATGTTTCAAAATATTTTCAGGGTATACTAGGTAGTGGTTTCGCTCTCAAAGTACAGCAGCATCAGCGACAAAAACACTTAATTCGAAGAAGAGTTCCAGCGGCCACATTAATCCAATGTCTATGGAGGTGTTATGCTGCTGATCCGCATTCATCATCTGCAGCAACATGGAAAATTCATATGAGACCTTTACGGAAGCCTGTTGGGTAAGACAAATACAATTTTATCCTTCAAGTGCATTAAGAAGAATTAAAATTAATCTTTTCAAACAATCGAGGTTACTTTATTAGTAGAGAAATTTTCCTACCAACTTACTGAGTGATTCGAATAGGCTTAACTATGATATCAGGTATGGAGAATCATTCTGCTGTTCTTTTTATTGAGGATAACAGTTCAAACAACAATAAAATCTATTGAATTAGGTCATCTTAAATGGATCTGTGCATGACAAATGCAGTCACTAAATAGCTTCCTATACATGACTAAGTGATCGTATAAAACTCAACCTACTTCACATATGTGAGGTAGAATCATTTGAGATGTGAGTATGTTATGAAACTGGACAAATAATTGTAAAATTATTTACAAGCCGTTCTGTTTACACAAATTACACTGGACTACAGTACCTGTATCATTTACTTTATTAGCTAGATTGCATCATCCATTAACCTGATAAGCACTTGCAAAGGGACGGTTGCATTGTTTATAATACGTTCATCAACTTGAACACATGGACTTTTTTCTAAGTGAATTCCTTACAGAGATGTCAGGCGATTAAACAAAGCCAGTCAACAACTTTTGAATGCATGCGGTCACAAACCACTGAAATTCAAGAAGATAGTGTTCAAGATTAGTAAATGAATAGAAGTAAACTATTATATAAGTGAATTACTTATAGATTTGGTGCTCTGGTCAAAAGGTTTCCCGTGATATATAATACATAAACTGCTAACTTTTCATAGACTTTGAATAAAGCAAGAACAACAGTTTTTGCAGAATAAAATGGTATCATCTTTTATTTCGTTGGCTTCTCATCAGCTGCTTACAAGCCGAAGCTATTATTGAATATATCTACAGAAACGATCTAAACATACTTGTACAGAGTTCATTTTCAAACAAAAATCAATCAATATATGCATACAGTAATATATATATATATATAATATTAAACACTATTCTGAACAGTAATAATCATACACAATGGGAACTTTCGGCATTACGTAATCAAATGGAAGAGAGATGAAAATATCCATTTACCAGGGCAAAGAAAAACTGATAACTGCTTCTTTCTGAACGCATAAGTCAGGTTTCGTGCCCTTGATGGGAATGGCTTCAGCAAACTTGAGGAGAATTGAGCCCTTTTGCCTACTGATGATTTTGAACTACTTTGCGACGTCCACCTCATGACCGGTGTCTTTGGATATATTTAATAATGACTTTGGTCTGTAAACAGATGATGAGAAGCCAACGAAATAAATGATGGTACCATTTTATTCTGCAAAAACTGCTGCTCTTGCTTTATTCAAATCTATTAAGGGGAATAAATGTATGAAATTTTCAAAGACTCATACACAGTACTTTTTTAGAAAAGCGGCTATTGGTCAGCTGTATTTTCTATTAGAAATGTCCTCCACTATGCATAAAACAAACTGTTTGTTAATTTTTCATGATGACGTAATCGATGACTGTATACTTGACAAACATCGAGAACCATAGTTGAACTGAAAATTAAACGTCATAATATGGTAGATTAAATAGTTTCTATCCACATACGTCTATGAAAGCGTCTGGTTAAAGCATTTCAAAGAGAAATTCCCAGTTAAATTTTATGTGTAGGTATATGGGATCAAAAACGTTGGTGAACAGCTAGCTAAAAATGCATCTCTTTAAGTGGCGAGAGAAGAGTTTTTTCTGCCTAGACGCTTCGAATTTCAGCTTTTTAAGTTCAGTAAAATACCGTTTTTTTTTTAAAAATTAGCCTGAAAATAATTTATTGCCTTGCGACATTTTTACCTGTGCTTGCGTAAGATACCACTGGATTAAAAATTGGTCAATAGATATTAGAGGATTAATTTTTGCAGAATGTGAAGATAATTCAAACAAGGAGAAATGTAACGGTATGATCAAATAATTTTTTGCTCAGCTAGACTATAAATACTTCTACAAACGTCTATGAAATTTATACACCTGATTTGTAATGGCAAATTTATTCGCACCAACATTTACAGTAGAACATTTATAATAGAACGATGTCCAAACATAACCAGAACACAATTGCTAAAGATGTCATGAAAGTTTGGTACCATATAACATCTCAGAGCAGTGCATATACTCTAACTATTGTGATAACAGAGAAGGTTAATATTCGTTTAAAAACTACAAGCACCCTAAAGAAATGGAGGTCAAATTTCTCATTATAAGACTATCTCTAGTATACCGAAGTATAGAGGGCAATTCTTCCACCTATCTAAGCATTATTATTCCAACTACAGGCGAAACTGATGACAGCGTGAAAACCAGAATATGTTTGGAAATCTGCTGCGCTCAGCATAAAGAACAAAATGCAGATTTTCGCTTCTTTTATATGGGTCAGAAACTTGGTGCGTCACCAAGAGTATTTCCAGCAGGTTATTACAGAATTCTATCAAAATCTGTCTTTGCTCCACAATGAAGATCAGATGGCCAGAAAGATCTAGCAACGAGAGACTCTGAGGACGAAATAGTCAAGGATCTCTCGCCCAACGAATATTCCAAAGAAAATGAAGATGGAGTGGGACACACTGGGGTGGCCGTTGGGTCACATCACCCGCCAGACCATCACTCGAGTCGAACCTGAGTGCGAAACGACGAGTTAGGCGTCCGAGGTTGACTTGGAGGGTATCACGAAAGTTTATGAGGAATCGTGGGGCCAGCTAAGGAGAGCTGTAGAGAACAGAATGAAATGGAGATGTGCTGCTGAAGCCTTATGTTCTACTCGGAGTCCAAGAGAATCAATAATAATACTGCGTTAAGATTGATTCATGGTAATAACATAATTTAAGTGATGTATGACAGTGTAAAGTATCCCACAACTGTGACAGTAGTTAAACTTAGGGGGAACACTTATTCACTTATACCTATAGACTCAAATAACCTCTGAAGCTTGAATCTATATAAGCGTAAACATTCTAATATGAACTGAGATAATTTTATTTATTACATTTATCTACTTCATTTTTAATTCTCATTTCAGTTTAACAAATTCTTATTCCATGATTGAAAGGAGTGGATTTTCTCGATTCAGTCGTTTTTCAACATTAAAACGGCGTTCAGATAAGATTCATTCTGGTACAAATACAGGCGGGAATAACGCTGCACCGACTGTATCCTCAGATGAAACAAACACTGATTTACCAAGATCTGCACCTGCGAAACCTGAAGGTTTAGACGCCATGTATACATTTATAAGTGATGAAGAGGCTGCAAAGTAAGTGAACGACAAATATAATGAATTGTAGGGGAACATAAAATGCCTCACATTTTACAATTAATATTCTGAAGTAAAACTTATGTGAACGTCAGTAACGAAAGACAAATGATAATTGCAGAGACTGAAAATAAATTAAATTTCGACACTAAGTGAGATCACTTAGAGAGCCAGTGTAAACCTGGGATCACTAGGCACCGGGTGATAATGATGCTTAAGAAACCTAAACTTAGCGCCTATAGTCTCAAAAGGTTACTAAGCTTTAAAAGGTTAACGATTCATGTCATATCATAGTGTTGAATGAGTTTCAGTCATGTTCAACAGTAATTAATTTCGGACAATTCAGAGTAGACAAGATAAACAACGACATGTGTATAACATAATGATGACGATGGATTCTGTCAATGAAATGTTAGATATGGTGATCAGTGTAGATTACTCACCTTCGTGGTTCCCAATTAATCAATTGCTTGCATCCAAATATCTAATATCAACCTAATGTAAGCCACAATAGAAAGTCACGTACGTAGGTGACCACAGAAGAATAGATACACGACATTATTTACTCCACACTGACCAATCATGTGTACTATATTCCTACAAGAGGTCAGTCAGGTGCCAAATAACTCACTATACCACTAGTTGGCGCGCATCTGAATATCTCAAGATACGTACATTCTCTTCTGATGTGTCATTCTGATGAGTACCAATGAGCAATTACCTTCAACCAACTAAGCACCAACAAGCCTAAACAAAACAAGGGAATTTTATGATTAGACTTATTTTCAAAATTATGGTGTTTAGGATTAGAGTTTAGTAGAAGCACCCTGTCGGACTTATTGCTTTGTCTTCTTTCTGAAGATTGAGCTGCTTTATTCGACCTACTGGAGTTGTCAGGTGACTCGACAGCTACGGATTTAGGATATGCATTCTGTTGCAGACAACGGAGAGTGAAAACACGATGATTGTTCCAATTACACAGTTTCTTTGTTAATTTAATTCGATTGCAAAATAATGCCTTCTACTAACTCTAACCCTAAACACCATAATTTTGAAAATAAGTCTAATCATAAAATTCTAGATACTAACAGTGTGAACAGACATGAAGGTGTGATGTTAGCTGATGCATAGGAAATCCTTATTAATGAATAAAAAATGGATATGTATCACTAATTATTAATACTTGGTCAAAATTCTCGACTGTCCATATCTTCTTTTGGAAACGTTAAGCAATGTTTTACAACTGTTTACCCACACACGCATGCACACTCTGTTTAAAGTGTTTAACAAAGGTAGACCAATATTTGTAAGTCCGAGGTCAAATTTTGATCACAGCTCATAAAATTTTGTTTACTATACTTGTTGATACTGGTTGAATGACTCATGATTAGACAAAGTTTTTAAAAACAAGTGATGTTCCTTTTATATATAAACCTCTGTTATGTTAATTTCGATTAATTTCCCTGAAGAAATTCGGACCAGATTGCCGAATGAAACTTTGGAATTACTCATTTCAATCTCGCTGAGATTTTACAAGTATAATTTCTTACAAATGTCTACTTCTCACTCGGCGCCCAAATATTTCAGAACTATTCTGTCCAATCTTGACGACGGTTCATTTGAATAATTGTAGTAGGATAAATAAAATAATAAATACAGATGATACCACCAGTAGTATCTAATACAAAAGAAAAATAGTTGGGTACTCCTTATAAGCAAATCCAGTTTATCAGCAAGCTTTCAGTCAGTTTGACTTGTCTCGGGTGGTCTCCGCAGGTCTGTTTTTTCTTCCCTAAGTCTACCGATGAATGACGACTGGCCGTGGAAAAGGTGGAAAAGGATTGGGTAAAAGAGGATCCAAACGACATCACAAGGTTCTCCGAGACGACATCCAAGGCATCACGAAGCCCACTATCCGCCGTCTTGCTCATCGTGGTGGTGTGAAACGCATCTCAGACTTGATCTACGAAGAGACTCGGGATGTCCTGAAGGTGTTTTTGGAGAATGTGATTCGTGAGGTTGTGACATACACGGAGCATGCCAAGAGGAAAGCAATGACAGCTATGGATGTTGTGTACGCTTTGAAACGCCAAGGTCGTAGGCTGTACGGTTTCGGTGGTTAATTTTGTCAGTGAGTGAGTGAATGAGTTGATGGTGACCTGACCTCGGATCAGATGTGAATACTCGCTGAACTTAAGCATATCATTTAGCGGAGTAAAAGAAACTAACAAGGATTGCCCATAGTAACTGTGAGTTAACAGGGATTAGCCCAGCGCCGAAGCCTGTGGTTATCTGACTGCAAGGTAATGTGGTGTTTAGGTTTGTTCTTGGCATTACTGCTCTGCCCCAAGTCCAGCAATGAGTACGGCATACTATCCCTTATTATTAATCTTAATTCATTTACAACTATTCTTCGGTGGTACCAGTATCTTAAATCGTTTTATTATTAGAACAGTTATTATCAGTATTACTCAGTTGTCGATTCTTGGTATATTTACGTGCTGTCTCTGTTATGTAATTGTTTATTTAAGTGATCTAATTTAACAGTATTGCATTATTATTTTAATTTTATTCATTCGTATCCATCTTCCCCTTATCTATGTGAACATTAGCTGAAAAAACATTCATAACTGCCGTTTTGCATGATTGAGTCAATGTTGTCATATATCTCAGTGTATTTCTACTAGTATATATATATATATATCACTGTATGTAGAGTATTCAGCTGGAGAGTTCTACTGGAATTTAGTGAATTCATAAAATCCTGCTTTATTAACTCGTATCGCGAAGTAAATATTTCCAACAGAATGAGTCATTTTACATACTTGTCTGAAAAGTCTTTGATATCGAGTTCGATTTGCTGGAGTGGTCTTAGGTGCTGACTGTTAACGAATCAGGGTCTAAGGCGAATCCACCGCCTTGTGCTTTGTTGTTTTCAGTGGTCTCTTAATTGAAGTCCCTTCACAGCAGAATCAACTTTAGGTGAGAAAGAACCTGTTCAACTTCCAAGATATAAATATATTGATATCAACTGAGCAAGAAACACGATAAATTTCATGTGTAGTTTCTCATTGACAATTCACTATGAGAGACCAAAACAATCAGTTCATATCGCAGATGGTTGAATATGTCTTTTTACATCAAAAATAGTTATTATTGAATTGTTGGGTTACTGAGAAATTGGTTTATTTCAAGTCAAAAATCTAATATCAAAAAGAATGCAATTGAGAGCCAAAAAATAGGATGGTGGAAAACACCCATATGGACATTAGAAAGAAGAGAACATGAAGTTCAGCAAAGATATCTTTTCAGCGATTTCATTTTCAAAAAGCTGTACAATCGCATTTAAATACATAATTTTACATGGAGACAATTCTTGCTTGATTCTACATAATTATGACGGCGAATAAAAGGTGATAATTATTTCCAACTAGATATGGTTTTTACGAGAGGCTTAGAAACAAAATTACACAGGATTAGAACGGATATCAAGTGTGTAAAAATGAGCATGGAAACAAAATTGAAATAATAATTTTCAACTTGAAATGGGAGTTAGGAGGTGTGAATATAGATTACAAGAGCCTTAGAAACACAAAAATTGCACAGGATTAAGATCTAATTGTAAAATAGTTAATTTTTTATTATTAAACGAATTATAAATGTGAATAGGAAAAGCATGGAAAGAAACTTAAAATAACTGTTTTTTATAACTGAAAAAATGGGGTGAATCGAATGAAGACTGAGGGAGTAAGAATCACACACACAGCGAACGAAAAAAGATCAAAAAGAAAAAAACGGAAGCTAAGGTAACATACCGAACTAGGTCCATGGTAGTTGTAGAGGTTGGACTAATTTCTTTTGAACACACAGCTCCGGCTTCTCGATGCATATTGCGAGGGCTTCTGCAGAGCTTCTGCTTTTGGTAGGTTTCTGTTGACTTTGTAAATTACTTTGAAAGAATCAGTTGAGATGTTGTGGAAGGTGTTGATCAGATGTTCAATAATGGCACTTCTGAATGAACCGGTGCCTCCTCTTTGCAGCCACGCTGGGTAATGTTCTCTAACACGTTTTGAAAGGACGCGCATACAACGACCTATGTACCTAGCTCCGCACGAGCAGGTGAACTGGTAAATGCACATTGAATTGGTCATATGCGTGAGTTTGTCCTTCGTGTTGTTTCGAAGTATTGGACGGCTAGAGAATGTCACTCTTAGTGTTGCTGCAGGGAAGGTCTTCTTTAAAGAGCTGGATATTCTCCTCTTCAGGATATCCGTTCTAATCCTGTGTAATTTTGTTTCTAAGCCTCTCGTAAAAACCATATCTAGTTGGAAATAATTGTCACCTTTTATTCGCCATCATAATTATGTAGAATCAAACAAGAATTGTCTCCATGTAAAATTATGTATTTAAATGCGATTGTACAGCTTTTTGAAAATGAAACCGCCGAAGAAAAATAGGATGAACAATTTCTTTTCTCAGATAGCGACTTCTATACAGAACACTTTAGAGGATCAAGCAAAGTTCCATTAGATTACATGATACGGAATTCTCATGTAGAATGATAAATATCTCCAGTTCTCCTGGACTTCCAGTTGCTCAGTGAATATGGTCAGCTGATGACAAAACTCACCTTGAAATAGTGAGAATCTTATATTTTCAGTCCTTTTTATTATTTATTCATAAACTCGAAATAGTCCCATAAAAAAATGAGTTGTGTTCACTGACAATGCTTGCTGCTATAAACGAAAACCAAATATCTGCAAATCAGCCTTACCTTAGATGAAATCGAAAGAGTGTACTCTTCAACTTGGAAAACTACCCTAGAATTTTGTTTCCTGAATGTGATGCATGATTTATTCCGCCATCATATTAACACTTTTTCTGATTATGTAAGCTAAATTCTTTCCTTATTAGTTTTACACTTATATAATTCACTTCAACAACTCATTTACTTACCAGTCCAGGTACTAAAGGACTGATAAATGTAGACCATAGCATGTATTTATTTTCCCGCCTAATTTGAAACATCTGGTCTTACCTTAACTTTTACCAGTGATAAACATGAAGAAAGTTTATATTAGATAATAAAAACAGTAAAAAGATAAGGATTTGTTATTTTGCTGCCTTGTTCCACACAAAAAAAATATTTAGCACGCAAACTAAACTACTGAATTTGCAACTAGAATAACAACTAATACATATCAAGGAGTTAGCTTTCGTAAACTAACTATAATTAAATAAAATTTTGATGTAAAGTACACTAATCTAGATGTGTGGATTAAAATGATACGCATAACAAAGTGATAAACATCGGAAGAAAAAAAACAACTCAAATATTTATGTCCCATTATTTTGTTTACATACATTCGTCTGGAGACAGAGAAGAAAATATATGGGTTTTGCGTGTTATTTTTCTTCTTTATACATACAATAGTAATTAAATTTACAAAAATACAGCGTCTGTAAAATAGACGCTTCATCCAGTCCCTTGTTTTCGAAAGTAGAATACGGATAATAAGCGTTTGAAAAATGTAGGCATATAAAGCTTGAAACTAATGAAATATCTTAAAGTTCATCTTGCATGTTACACGCGAGTTTATGCATTCCGATTATAAGCTAAGCTTAGTATGTACCGATGAATGACGGTAATTGACATCAACCACAGGCTATTAGAGTTGAATACTGTATTTCCCTGTTTTTGTTTTCTCATTGGCAATTACTCATTTATTATTATTGTTCCCTTGGGTTCCTAGTGGAACATAGGGCTTCAACTACACGTCTCCACTTGCTTCTGTCTTCTGCTGTACTTTTCACTTGCATCCATGTTAGTCCATACTGTTTCAACTCTTCTTCACACGATCTCCTCCATGTCACCCTTGGACGTCCCACTCGCCGCTTCCCTTTCGGGTTCCACTCGAGCACTGGCCTGACGCGCGATGTCACCCAGCGGCCTCCTCAGCGAGTGTCCAATCCATCTCCACTTTCTCCTGTATATTTGTTGGGCGATTGGTTCTTGTTTTGTTTGTTCCCATAGATTCTTGTTTGTGATTCTTTCCGGCCATCTGATCTTCAGTATAGAGCGAAGACAGTTGTTGATAAAGGTTTGCAACAGGCTGTTGGAAATATTCTTTGTGACCCGCCAAGTTTCTGATCCGTATAGAAGAACTGACTGACTTGACGTTTGTATTGAAAATCCGAATTTTGTTGTTGATGCAGGCTGAGTGACGAAGATTTCCAGATTGGTTTCAGGTTGATGAATGTGTTTCTCGCCTTCCCGATTGTCGATTTGACATCCTCGTCCGTTCCTCCTGTAGTTGAGACAATGCTCCCTAGATAAGTGAATGAAGTAACCTCTTTCAAATCCCTCCCGTTGATGGTGATTGGCGCTGGATGTTGCTGCTGTTGTTGTTGCTGGTTGGTTGGTTGGTTATTTTCATAACCTCCGTCTTGTCTATGTTCACCTGGAGTTCTGTCTTTGCTGCTTCTTCAACCAGTTTATCGGTTGTCGCTTGTAAGTCTTCGATTTTGTGTGACATCAGACATAAATCATCCGCGAAATCCAGGTCTTCTAGATTCTTCACGTCGGTCGGTCCAGGATATCCCTGTCTTCTCGTTTCCCACTGTCTGACGCATAATCCAGTCCACCACAATTAGGAATATCATTGGTGATAATAAGCACCCTTGTCTGACTCCTGTGTTTACTCCAAACGCTTCGCTGAGTTTTCCGTTGTGGATCACTTGACATGTGCCGTTGTCGTACAGCTGTTGAATAAGGCAATTACTCATATCTACGTTAAATAGAATATCTTGAGTGATCACCTTTCTATATTTTCTAAACACATTTCAGTTCTAACTAATGAGTTATTAGTTGCTATTCATTTTAATTAATTTTATATGTATTCTCGTATTTCCCTTTCACTATAGAATGAAGCATATTCAACAAACTCTTGATCATGAGAAACCACAGAATCCAGATGGAAAGTTGGAGAAAGGTATGCTTCATTTTTTGTACTAATTATTCATCTTATCGGAATTAAAACCAAGCAATCAGCTATCTAATACACACTGTATAAATTCACGGTGGGGGGCGGAAACATTGCTTTAATAAACATGAAATAATCCTCTGTCTGAAATATGTGATTCTAGTAAGCATGCTTGATATATATCTGCTTAATAGCTGGCATACATACGCATTATTAATAACATGGACGAGCATTTTCAGAAAATGTAAAGTAACTGATCTTGATTTCATACTTTTACTGATAAGCCACATCATAATAATAAGGTTCCCGAACCTTCCAACAATAATACCATTAGACATTACATCACCCAAAGTGGGCGTCCCCTTCGAATCAGAATCCAAGAAAACAAATCAGCTGTGAAAAGACATGATATATATTCTTTCATATCAATGCATGTAGATAATTATGGACATCAGTTTGATTGGGATAATGTCGAAATTTTAAACCAGAGAATTCCTAAAAGCCTAGTACTCAAGCGAATATGCGATTAACAAACATGTTAATATAGACCAAATCTACCAACTAATAAGAAGTAAATCATGTGACGAGAAAGTTTAAAATCCAAATCAATAAAAAATGATCAATACATATGTAAAGATGGTTACCGGAAGACGCAATTCTATCACTCATAGAAAATTTAAATCAGTTCACTTTCTGCTAAAACTTGCGCTCCAGTTGTTGTCCAGAAGGACAATGAAAGCTCCGCAACTAAATCAACCAGCTCAAAAAATACTACTAATTGAAAATCATTCACCTGAGCTACAAATCTTCTCTATTATTTCAAGACTATTATTCCCTTAGATTCTGAGTGGAACGTAGGGCTTCAGCAGCACATCTCCACTTCATTCTGTTCCCGACAGTCGCCTTTAGTTGCACAACGATTCCCCATAAGCTTTCGCCTCCTCCTCACATGATATCCTCCACGTCAACTTCGGATGTCCAGCTCGTCGTTTCTCATTTGACTAGAGTTATGGTCTGACGCGTGATTTGACTCAACGGTATCTTCAGAGTGTGGCTGATCCATCTCCATTTCCCTATGCATATTTGTTGGGTTCTTGGTTGGTCCGTTGTCTGGCAGAGTTTCTTACTTGTAGTCCTTTCTGGTCGACCATCTGACCTCTAGCATAAAAATGGAGGCATCCGTTGACGAAAGTCTACAGCAGTCTGTCGGAAATGCTTGTGATGATGTATCAAGTCACTTAACCATATAGATAAAGTGACTTGACATTAATGTTGAAAATTAGAATCTTGTTTCTTATGCTGAGTGCAGCACATTTTCAGACTGATTTCAAATCAATGAAGACCTGTCTTACCTTTCTCATTCTGGATTTGACATCTTCAAACATGCTGGCATATAGTTGAGATAATGCTGCCTATATAAGTGAAGTAAGTTTTCAAAAATACACTTACTAAATCGCATGTGTCTACAGTAAAATATTTGCGCACCAGCCACTTCACTAGTAACCTATTGGATGTATGTAATTTGTGGTTAAGCATCTAAAAACTCTTGCTTGAGTTTCAAGCAAACTAGGTTACACAGATCATAAGCATAAAAGCAGCTTTTAACAGTTAATGAAAGATTCTCTCTCGGTATTTTGACCTTACAATTGTGAAACCACATTACTTCACATATTTGTTTGGTATACCAGGCCATTTATAAGGTTTGGTACGTAGATAGAGATTAAGCACTATATTATTCATTTGCGTTCTGAGTGAAACATGTGGCTTCAACAACACATCTCCACTTTGTTCTGTTTTCTGCCGTCCTCTTCAAATAGGACCACGACTGCTCATAATCTCTCATCTCCTCCAACTCTCATGATCTCCTCCATGTCACCCTCTCACTTAAGACCCACTTGTCGCTTTCCATTTGGATTCCACTCTAGCAGTGGCCTGCACTGCCCGCGATATCATTCGATGGCCTCCTCAATGTATGCCCGATCAATCTCCATTTTCTCCTGCACATTTGTTCAGCAATCGGCTCTTGGTTGATTTGTTCCACTGCAGAGTTTCTTGTTGCTAATTCTTTCTGGCCGGCTGACCATTTGATCTTCAGTATGGAGCGAAGGCAGCTGTTGATGAACGTCTCTAACTTGTTGGAAATCCCTTCCGTAACACGCAATGCAAGTTTCTGACTCATATAGAAGAACTAACTGACTTCACATTTGAAAATGCGAATCTTGTTCCTTATGCTGAGTGCGGAAGATTTCCAAACTGGTTTCAGGTTGATGAAGGCGTATCTTGCCTTTCCGATTCTGACTTTGACATCTTCGTCCGTTCCGCTGGCCTGTAGTTGAAACGATGCTTCTCAGATAAGTGAAGGAGGCAACCTCTGTTAAATCTCTCCCGTTGATGGTGACTGGTGCTGGTTGTTGTTGCTGTTGGTGGTGGTTGGTTATCTTCATCACCTCCGTCTTCTGTGTGTTCAACTGGAGTCCTGTCTTTGCTGCCTGCCTCACCTCTTCAGCCAGTTTGTTGGTTTTCGACTGTAAGTCTTCGAGTTTGTGTGACATTAGACATATATCATCCGTGAAATTCAGATCTTCTAGAGTCTTCTTATCGGTCATCACAGCGTATTTCTGTCTTATCACTCCCCCTGTACAGTGTAACGCATAATCAAGTCCACCACAGTTAAGAATATCATTGGTGATAATAGGCAGTCAGCTTGTCTTACTCCTGTATGCACTTCGAACGCCTCTCTGAGTTTTCCGTTGTGGATCACTTGATACGTGGAATTGTCATATAGAGAGTAAGCACTAAACGTCTTTTAATCTGCTTTTTTTACACCTTAGTCACACTGGTTCTCGTAAGTTGACGTTTTAGCCACTAGAAAATATCAGATCACTAAATCTATCCCAATATTTTTTGGGTTTTAGAATCAGATGAACTGCTGGCAACATTTAGTCAAGCACAAATAGGCAATGTTCAAGCAAACGTTATTGATCCACTGTCATCAGGTGACCGAGAATACATCGGTCTATCAAAACAAAGACGTCAGTTAACAACGAATGGACAGAATTATACTAATCAACCTATGCTTCAACAAGAATCAGTCTTGTGTACCTCACGAGGTTCTGAAGTTATTATGCACCCGCTGACAGAAAAAGAAAAAGTTGCTGTTCGAGTTATTCGTAAATTAAGATTTTTTGTTGCACGTAGAAAGTTTCGTGAGGCTCTTCGACCATACGATGTAAAAGATGTGATTGAACAATATTCAGCTGGACATGTTGATATGTTGGCTCGTGTAAAGACACTTCAAGCAAGGTTAGTGATTATTTGAGTTTATACAGCTTAAAACTAATAGTGCTTTTCAGTTCAGTTGGTTTGCAGGGACTTTAGAATAATTTTCTGACTGCCTGATCCAGAAATACTGAGTGACAGAAACAATGATTTTACAAAACCAAATATAAGACTGAAAGCGAGACAAATCAGAAATCTTGGTTTATTCATCTAACTTTGGCCGGCTGAATAATAGTTCCTACACTATCCACATCTTATCGGTGGTTCTATCGTAGAATACTCGCCAACCATACGCGTGGTCCTGGCTCTATTACTAACCGACGCACTATTAAACGTCATCTAATTTACTAGCAGATAATAAGCCTGGAGAAGAGAGAAGGTCGGGCGTTCAGCTAGCAACCCTACCTAGTGGAATCATACCTAACACTATTAAAACTTTAAAGTCTAAAGCTCCAAGCCTTATATTCCATTATGGAACGTGTAAAGTGAACGCCAACACAACTCACCTCAGTGAGTCATATTTATTCTGTGCAAACAAGGTGGTTACCTGAATCACATCCGTGAATTTATGGACCTGCCAGATTTAGTTCTAGTTCGTTTCGGGTATTCAAGTCCTCCTTATATTAGATGGTTGGAGGCAATCGGCACGAAGCCTTGCTTCGCCTAGGTTTCGTGCTAGTTGACACACCAGTCAGCAAGGCGTATCTGCAACCTTGAAGGAACTCATGTCCCTTCTGAGATTCGAACCCGCATCACCCAGTGCTGCAGTCAGAGACGTTACCACTGAGCTATTCTGGCTCGCAATTGACCTCCTGTAGGACTGTAGTGGATATTTTGATTTGACACTAGTAACTAGTGTGATGCGTCTAGTCCTCTCTTTGGTGAATTCTATCAGTCAGGTTGTATTGTGGCCACCATTCTAGGTAGCTCACCATCACGGTGCACATTGATCTAATGATATTAGGTAGCTCACCTGCCGATTGCCTCCAACCATCTTATATCATCACAAACAATGTACATCGTGATGGCGAGCTACCTAGAATGGTGGCCACATTACAACCTGACTGATAGAATTCAGTCTGCACCAAGGAGAGGACTAGATGCATCACACTAGCTACTAGTGTCAAATCAAAATAAGTCCTCCTTATATTTGATCTTATAGCTTATTTCATCCTAACTCAACTGATTTCTATTGCTAATCTTCATCGCCTGAAGGGTAGCTGATCCATCACCAGTACTTCACTGTCCGTTTATTTTCATCGTTATAATTCGTTTGTATACTTGACGAGCCAATCAATAATATTAGAAAAAACATCATGCCTAGTTTTTCTTGTCTTGCACTTAAAGCTACAGCTCTAAGTCAAATGCATGACAGTAAGTGTGAACTGTTGTCTGTACAAATGACCAGTCACATTCGTTTTAGACTGGATAATCTAGTTCGTGAGACAATTTAGCAGATGTCTTAAAATAAATCATATCACATGGGTTAAAACTAACCGTTACAAATTTCTAAGTTACTTAACATTTTGAAGAAATGCCAAAAGAATTATACCCAGTTGTTCTCCAGTTTAACAAAAGTTGATCAATAGCGTTTTTTCAAGATAGAGCATCTACTCTTTTTTTGTCTTTTGAATAATTTAAGAAAATCCCTGAGAAAATGTAACGTTATACTTTTTGCCAAAACTTGTGAGCTATGATACCCTAAAAGTATTGGAATTTCAAATGAGAAACTCGCATATTAAAACAGTCAAATAACAGGAATGAAAACTTGATATAGAAACTACCTATTCATAATGCTAACATAATTAACTGTACACTATTCTGTCATACTAATTCTGAAGTGTCAAAGTAAAGAAAACTTTTAAACGAAGAAGTGTATGATTGATAACGCCTGGAACTTCAAATAAGACAACAAAAAATTTCAGCAACACTCGAGTAATGTTTTATCTTAAAAAGAACCTTGTAAACCATTCAGCCACTGGGACCCCATCCAATGAATCATGAATTCCAACTTCTATCAATTCGTGACTTCAGTGTTACCACCGGTTAATGTTGTCGGTGAGTATCTGTCCTCACACCTGACGTCGTAGAAAATTATTCACATACTCACAAGTGACTGCCTACAGGACGAGGTTTATGAAATTTTAGTGAGAAATCGAGACCTATAGGGTCCAAGATGTTGGGTGTAAGAACCAATACTCACTGAAGACAGTGACTGACAACTGTGCTAAAATCAAAAATTGATAGAAGTTAGAATTCATGGGTCATTAGATTACGGCTCAAGTGTGTGAAATGTCAACGAGCTTAGCTCTGAAACTTAAAGTCCCTAAGTTCGGTCCCTGGTGAGGTCATGAGTGTGTACTTCTGAAGAGATCCAAGGTAGGATAAAACAGCTGTCCGGTACTTCCTGGTTTCTAATGGTCCTCTAACTAACATCAACTGTGATTCAAGTTGGAACAAATCACACACCCTACAAACTAACTCTTGAAATTTGAACAAATCAAGAACTACAGTTTTTGCAGAATAAAGCGGTACCATCTTTTATTTCGTTGCCTTCTCATCAGCTGCTTACAAGCCAAAGTCATTATTAAATATATCTACAGAAACAATTTTAACATACTTGCACAGAGTTCATTTTCAAACAAAAATCAACCAATATATGCATACAGTAATAATTAAATATATATATATGTATAATATTAAACACTATTCCGAACAATAATGATCATACACAATGGAAACTTTTCAGCATTACGCATTCAGATGAAAGAGAGATGAAAATATCCAGTTACCAGGGCAAAGAAAGACTGATAACTGTTTCTTTTTGAACGCACAAATCAGGTTTGAGGCGCTTGATGGAGATGGCTTCAGCAAACTTGAGGAGAATTGAACTCTTTTGCCCATTGATAATTTTGAACGATCTTGCGACGTCCACCTCATGACCCGTGTCAAGGAGATGCCTGGCGATGGCACTGTTTAAAGCATTTGTTCCCTTTAGAAATAAGCTTTTTGGTACATGTTCAGAAAATCATAGATATGCCCTTCTTTCTGTCCTTCCAATGTAACTGCTCCTGCAGATACATGTAAATTTGTATATACAGTTGGAGTTAACATGAGAAGGATATCTATCGATTTTTGATTGCTTTGTTCAAATTCATTAAGGGGAATAAATGTATGAAGTAACTCTTGAAAATTAGAAGAAAAAAACGAAAATCAAAATACTAGCTTCAGATGCATATTACCACCCACAAGTTTTGTAGCGTGCACTAAAGTGCATAAAAATACTATTCATGAAGCATAGTGTATTATAATTTTCAAACATCTTAATTAAAGTAAAACATATATCTCTTCGATTGAACTAAAAAGTACTTTCAAAAGTCTCAACCTTAAAATATTTGATCGGAATTGTTGTATTTAGCGAATAATTGAAATTTATGCGTTTGAGAAGTAAACGACAATTGATAGACACATTCCAGATGAAATACTGCCGACTGTGTAGGTAACCATTGATTTGATTAGCAAAACCAACATATCATGAACTTTTGAGCTAGGAAGTCAGAATAGTTTCATGCAACTGTATACTAGTGACTGACTGAATACCACTCACATCAACCAGTGAGGCTTACTAGCAAGACTGAGGTTATCTAAACACCGGAAGGCCACTTCACTCATATAGCGACCCAGTTATCAGCAGCGTACCTTGTGTGGCTCAGCTTAGAGAGATCTATCAGTTCAAACCACCTGATTTCCAACTGGCTAGTTGAGCGAACTGATAGTTCCATAAATTAAGTTCTCAATTGGTAAATTATTCTGTTTTTTATAGTTTGGTTTGTAAGGGTTTGTTATGTTTTTACTAGTTGATCACGGACTGATATCAGTTAGAGAACCATTGAAAACCAGGGATTACTGGACAGCTGCTGTTTCATCCTAGTTTGGGGATCATCGGCAGTACGCACCCACTGGGATTCGAACCCAGGACCTTCCGGTTACAAGGAAAGCTCCTACACCATTCAGCACTGGGACCTGATTCAATGGCTACATGAATTCTAACTTCTACCAATTCGTGATCCAGGTCCCAGTCGCTGAATGGTGTACGAGCTTGCCTTGTAACCGGAAGGTCCTGGGTTCGAATCCCAGTGGGTGCGTACTGCCGATGATTCCCAAAGAGCTAAGATGAAACAGCAGCTGTCCAGTACTCCCTGATTTTCAATGGCTCTCTAACTGATATCAATCCGTGATCAACTCGTAAAAATTATTCTGTAATCTACACAGTTTGAGGTGAAATTTCACCAGAGTTCCGTTTTCTTAATGTGAATGGTATGCAGCTACTCACATCAATCAATCAGTAGTATATAGTTTTTTGCAACTATGGTTACTCTTTTGATTACTGTTTGCTGGCTGCATCAGGCAGATCACATACTGTGTGTGACCTGAACAATTTTGGTTTCCTCTGGAAACCGTGGTGAAAGTTTGCATGGAACTGTGTAAACCGCAAACTAATTTGCAAATTCAGAATTTAAGAGGCGAAGTGCTGACCTCGTAAATGAGTGATTCTCAACTAAGTATCCAGTGCAGTTGTCGGTCCGAATAGGAAACATTCACCAAAATGTCAAGCGTTTGCGCCTCCTCATAGTTCTATGAACTGCACCTAATCAAGACCAACTGAAATCAGAATATTGTATACTACTGATAGCATAATTCTTACTGATATTTGATACTTGGTTTCATATCTCCAAGTTTCAGGGATTGTAAAATGTGACAAATAGAGTAATAAACCATAAACTTTTTTGAAAACACCTTAATCATTATTTTCCTCAGCTCAGATAAAGCAACTATTAATTATTAAACAGACTGCCATAGTTTTTGATAACATCAGGGAAGAAATTAATACCCATCTACATTTTCAAGACAGTGAGAGATGTATTCTGCTAGCGTATATATATGTGTACACATATTGTATATTAATTATTTATAAACCACATGTCATTCGACGTAACAAGGTGTTTGTTCTACAATCATGACTGGATTTCTTTTCTATGCTTTAGGTTGGATCAAATTTTAGGACGTCCTGGTTCAAAAAATGATGATGTCTATGACTCGCATTTGTGTTTAGCTTCAAGAATTGTGAAAATTGAACATAAGGTAGGTTGAATTAATCACTTTCTTTCTATGCATAAATAACAATCATAATTACATAACTTATAAATATAATGATGATTTATGGCATTATGCAATAAGTCATACATGTCCAAAGTCTTCTGTTTTACCTAATCCCCTTAAATCCCATTACTGAAGTAGGATATGAAACTAAACCAGGTTGACAGTCGATAAATCACTCTACCATTGGTAGGATTAAAGACCATGGCCGTTTACTTTCACATAAGTAAAAACTAAATAAACAACTTTTAGAGAGGCAGTATATGTCACGTTTTGCTAAATAGTATGAATTCTTCAGGTTATACTGACAACTGGTCATTGAGAAATAGTCATGGTGTCCACAGGCCTTCCAAGGCTCAAGGGTACAGGTCAGATTATCAGTGGACTTGATAGTTAGTCAATCCATAAATGCATATTTATATATATACCTCCAAAGCCTCAGGATGGTCGGGGGGTGCCTTGCTCTGCGGGTTGGCCACCCCTCCGCACACCTCTTGAAATGCTCCCATATGACCGAGCGTCTTACATAGCCTCTCCTGAGGAAGTCCTACTCACTGCCTTCACGTGGCGGAGGTGTTTTTCACCAAAGTGAGAGGGCGAAAGCGGATGCCCGGCGCTCTTCACCGGGTTCACTGTCCATTGGATGACAGTCTAGGGGAGATGGCTAAACCCTGATTCCAAACCTCCAATGACTGGCGTATGAAGCTCACTGGAGCTCACCGGTAGACGTATGGACAAAGGGCTTGTTGGATGTCCTGGATGTCTGGCCCCATTCAAAAAGGCGTATGAACCGAACTCCGGTCACCGGCTGCCAATGGATAGTGGACTCCCTACTCCACTCCTACTGCCTTGTAGGTCACACTTGGTTGTATAAAGGCTAGAGCTGCACTCTCAAACAAAAGGCCGAGCGATTCTGGGGACATCACTCGTACCAAATTCCCATGAAACTTCATGAACTCTCTTACAAACGACTATTCGAGATGTTCATGAAGCCGGCTCATCCTCCCGTAGCCGAAGTAAAGTAAGTATATATATATATATGTTGCCGACCATGCGAGCAGAAATCAATTAGTGCCCGTCTAGATAGCAAAGCTTTGAGTAAAAAATATATCCATTACAGAATGGTTTCGTGTAAAACGACCAAGGAACGAATACTTTCTAATTTCTGAATTCATAATATTTAGTCCCTTTGCCTAGCTTTATTTTTTAAAAGATGAAATTCACCTATATCTGCTCAAGTACATCTCATTTCTGAGATATACTTGATTCTCTAATAATTGCATTCATATTTCAAGAACTGACAAATATATGCTGTCAAACAACTTAACCCTAAGTTCCTATTGTAACGAAGACGCTCTGAACCGATAGTTACGACGTACTTGTCTCGACTTCAACTCCAAAACACCAGTACTTTTTTGAAAGTTATATTGTTTGGCAATTAAAGTAAAGACAATAACAAGTCTATAAAAAATGTTTTATTCAAAATTATAGTGTACTTTTATTCGTATTCTTTCGTCTTCTTCGAACTTGTACACGATCAAACGATTCGCGCCTTCGAGTTGCCCACCAATGGCTACCAAGGTCAACGAACCAACGTTCAATGTTCATATTCCTTAACACTTGCATTTGCTGAGAAAATTATCATTTGCCAAGCAGTGTATCAACGTTTACTTTTATGGAAAACATTCTACGTAACTTATCAGTAACTTACGTATTTAGGCAAAACTCTTTCACAAATTAACGTACTTCATTTAAAACGAATTCAGTTTTACTTTATTCAGTAAAGAAGCTTCTAAAAATGTTTGAAAAGTAGTTTGTAAACAGGAACTCAGTTATAACAAATCATTTTTCTTCGAATAGTGTTTACAGAAACATCAAAACTAACAAAATTTCCTAAAGCGATTCGAGCATGAATGTCTAATCATTAGAAAAAACTGAGTACCTCTCAGATCTTTCACTTTTCTTTTGGAAATCCCTAGCTTTTTGATTACATAATCATATTCAGAATTGAGTTGAGAATCGTTAATAAACAGCTGCTACACCAGAGTTCAGTAGTGTCTTTATTATTGTGTAATCATTATTGTTATTATTCCATTGGATTCGTGGTAAAACATAGGACCTCTGCAGCACGTCTGGATTTCACACTGTTCTTTTTAGTCATTATAAGCTGAACTCAAGTTTGCCCGAAAAGCTTTCATTTCCTTTTCACATGACCCCGACGATGTCATACTGGGACGCCCAACTCGTTATTTTACATTCAGTAGTAGTAGCTGATGTCACTGAACGTATATCTAATCCATACCCTTTTATCTGTGCTCATCTGTTTAGTAATGGGTTCCTAGTTGACTCCCTTTCTTCTACAATTCCTTGTTTCTTCTCCTTCAAGACCAGCAAACTGATCTTCAGCATAGAAGAAAGATAGCTGTTAATGGAAGTCTATGCCAACCTGTTGGAAACGCTTTTTGTTACGTGCTCTCCACGTTTTTAAGCCATATGAAACAACTGACTTCGCATTAGTGTTGAACATTTAATCTTGTTTCTTATGCTGAGTGCAGCCGAATTCCAAAACGATTTCACAGTAGCGAATGTCTGTTTCGTCTTTCCGATCCTGTCTGGCTTTGGCATCTTTATCTGTGCCAGCTGCAGTTGAAACGGTACCGTCTAAATAAGTGAAAGTGGTGTCATCCTTCAGATTTCTCCCGTTGATGCTGATTAATACTTGTTGTTCGTGGTGGGCACGTGTCTTTCTCACCTCTGTCTTCACAGCACACCTATTCCGACAAATTGTTGCTTTTCGCCTGTAGATCTTTGAGTTTGTGTGACATTTAACATGAATCACCCGTGAAGTCCAGATCATCCAGTGTATTTTTGTGATCGATAATGAATTTATCTCACATCCGATTTATTTGCAATATTCACCTAAATTCTAGCAACATTTTTATTCATTTTTTTGGTAATTTTATATTTTTAGATTGATACAGTTGAAATGAAACTTGACAGATTGATTAATTTGTATAAAGCTGATCGTTTCATAAAATATCATGGTCAAATGGGAAATACTAGTGTCGTTGGTAAACGCCTACTCCGAGGTGGTGAGAAAAATGTTCAAGAAAAATACGTACAATATTCTGATACACAAGATAAATCCTATCATGAACAAAAATCTATGATGACTTCAGCAGCAGGTCAAAAGGTGCAATTACTAGAAGATGATGGATATACAATCCGTGACAAGCCATATATTAGATTTGCAAATCAGCGATTACCTAAGTCGGAAAGAAATTCACGTATCGTCAGCTCTCCACTCGCTTTAACCAATGAAAGATGGAGAAGTTTCGAGTATGAAACACCTAACACTAGTGCATATCATTATAGTGAACCTATGAGTAAAGAGTATAATGCGTCTCATAGAAGTAGTCATCCACACCCGATGTCTTTAAAACCACATTTCTCTTGCAGTACTGATAAACTACCACCAACATACAACAAGCATACCTATCCTCTCCAGTCTACATCTTCAGGTAATTTAATACCAAGTGGACGAGTAATGTCCACTTTTTCAGAAAGCTGTTTAGGCGCAGTTATTGACGATGCTGATGATGATCATGACGATCGGCCTAAACATCAAGAAGTTGTTAACAAGGCGTATCACCAACAACCCTCAGATGAACTTTACCTAGATGATTTACTCAATACTTGTAATCTTACAGAAAGTATCAGTTCAATTAAAATACCAGATCCATATGCATCACCGTCTAAATCATGTTTACGTAGACAAGATGAAATTGTCTCTCCTACAGATTGTCAATTTATTGATGATGATGAAAAAAAGTCTTTAATCAGCTCATCGGATAATGTTCTTGTAGATAGTGTAAAAAGTCCTCAAGATGAGAAGGATGTCAATGATGATGAAAGAGCTATTCGTAACAGTATTTAACTTTTACTACATTTTTAAATTTGTAATAAATTTTTAAATGAGTACAAAACGTTTACCAGTCTTATTTTCATTTTTGTACTAACTAACTAAGTAACTAACTCAAATAACATTACCTACTCTGATTATCTTATTTCTTTTATTTTTGTCGCATAGAATCAAAATATAGTTCTATAATGTTTTAATTTTAGTGTGAAACAAATTTTTGTCAGTAGTTTTTCCCCTTTTTTGTAAAAAAAACAACATAGACACCATTTTTTGTTATAATTTTGTATTCTTGACTCTTCATTGTCTTGTAGTCGTTTCACACTGTTTACCAATCTGTATGTAAAAATTATCTACGTCCACTGAATCCTAACGACACTAAAATGTCTTCCTCAAAAACAGTTTAAGAAACCTCATCTGAACATAATTGTGCAGACTGTACACACAACACACTTCTTATTCCTCATTTCTTTTCACTTTATCAAAAAGTAAAAGAAAAATAAGAGACTAACTATGGAACAGATTCATACCTGTATTCTTCTTCTGCATCTCCTTCTTCTTCTCCTTTTTTTCATTTCACCATGTTCTATGATAAATATTTTTTAGATAAATTCTAAAAGCATGTAAATAAACCCATAGGAGTGTGATTGACAGAATGGTTGTCTTTTTTTTCCAATTCTAAAATTTTCAGGTGATTTCATCGTTATATATAAAAGATATTTTCTCACTTGAATAAATATCAATGTGTCTAGTGCAAGCTAACAGTTATAAATATTCTCCAGTCATCCATCCAAACACAAATGTGATTATGAGTGGATTATTCACACTCAGATAGCATAAAATATGCTATTAACAGTTGTCTTCGCTCAATACTCAAGATCAGATGGCCAGCCAGAAAAGATCAGCAACAGAGATCTCTGGCAATGAGCGAACCAACCAGGAACCAATTTTGAAACAAATAGGCAGGAAGAAATGGAGATGGATTGGCCATACTCTGAGGAAACCATCAAGTGACATCACTAGACAAGCCATTGCTCGAGTGGAACCCGAAAGGGAAGCGGCGAGTTGGTCGTCAGTGCAAGGGTGACTTGGAGGAGGTCATGTGAAGAGGAGATGAAAACGTGTGGGCAGACTTGGAGGCAGGTGAAGACTCTAGCAGAGAACCGAACGCAATGGAGACGCACGGCTGAAGCCCTATGTTCCTCTAGGAATTAAAGGAAACAATAATAATAATAATGCTTGCTTGAATCTTTCAAATTCATTAAGTAGACAAAATGTGCCACAACTTCCATTATGTCGAATGTGGATGTAATTCCTCCATTCCACAGCCTCTAATACAGTTGAATCATACATCTCCTAGATGATGGAATTACAGAAACAGCTAATAGTGGTCAGATATTTTGAGTGGTAGTCAATTCAAGACAGTCAAAGATTCCATCAGTTGATGCAAGTACATCAACTAGAACTGTTTACAGATTTTATTCTATGGATAGCCTATAAATATATCAACTGATTGTTTTATCAGATGAAAAGCTCAAAGATAAATCTTTTTAGCTGTTCATCTATTCTTGAAACTAGTTTACGCACTACATACGCTCAGTTTATTATATGATTTGTTGTGTAAAGAGAAATGATTGAAAGTGTAAACTAGAGTTTGCGCTGTGGTATTCGTTTCCCAGCATTCGTCCTACCTGTCTCACACAGTAATATTATGAGTCCTTAGAAACTTTATGCAATTCTTCCCATCAGTAAACATGAGCAAATACACCAGGATAATATGAGCTCATTCTTTATTATTTTCGGTTTCTTTTCAACTGGCTACAACCCAAATAGTATAAAAATATGGATTACACTGAAAATTTGAAAAAAATTTTTATGTGATGACAAGGAGTGATCGACAGAAACTATAAGTAACATAATTCCGGAATGATATAAGTTGTTATTGTTATTACTGTCCCCTTGGGTTCCTGGTGGAACATAGGGCTTCAACTGCACGTCTCCACTTGCTTCTGTCTTTTCCTGTACTTATCACCTGCATCCATCTTAGTCCATACTGTTTCAACACTTCTTCACACGATCTCCTCCATATCACCCTTGGATGTCCCACTCGCCGCTGCCTTTTCGGGTTCCACTCGACGGCCTGACGCATGATGTCACCCAGCGGCCTCCTCAGCCAGTGTCCAATCCATCTCCACTTTCTCCTGCATATTTCTTGAGCGATTGGTTCTTGTTTTATTCGGTTGTTCCCATAGTTTCTTGTTAATCATTCTTTCCGGCCATCTGATCTCCAGTATAGAGCGAAGACAGTTGTTGATAAAGGTCTGCAACCTGTTGATGGAAATATCCTTTGTGACCCGCCAAGTTTCTGATCCGTATAGAAGAACTGAATTGACGTCGTTTGTATTGAAAATCCGAATTTTGTTGTTGAGTGTTGCTGAGTGACGAAGATTTCCAGATTGGTTTCAGGTTGATGAATGTGTTTTTCGCCTTCCCGATTCTCGCTCGATTTGACATCCTCATCCGCTCCTCCTGTAATTGAGACAGTGCTCCCTGGATGAGTGAATGAAGTAACCTCTTTCAAATCCCTCCCGTTGATGGTGATTGGCGCTGGGTGTTGCTGCTGTTGTTGTTGTTGTTGTTGTTGGTTGGTTGGTTATTTTCATAACCTCCGTCTTGTCTATGTTCACCTGGAGTCCTGTCTTTGCTGCTTCTTCGACCAGTTTGTCGGTTTTCGCTTGTAAGTCTTCGATTTTGTGTGACATCAAACATAGATCATCCGCGAAATACAGATCTTTTCGGGTTCTTCACGTCGGTCCAGGATATCCCTGTCTTCTCGTTTCCCACTGTCTGACGGATATAAGTTGTTAAGAGAGTTAAAATGACTAACTGTTCACAGGATAATCAGACGGATATACATGATAAAAAAACGACTCCTTTCTTTTCAATTCCTTTGCACTTCGAATCAAACATAGGGCTGCAAGCTTGAGTTTTGAATTTACAGTAACAATGGCGTTTTACAGGGTGGAATTGCTAGTTTCCCACCCAAACTAGCCTCTTTACCTAGCTTAGTACTGCCTAAGTGACGTTTAAGAGTGAATCTGGTGTGAACCAAACCCAACACCACGTTCGTGGTTGGTGTGCATTTTGCCAATGAACCATCAATGCAGTTACTGAATGGTCAACGAGCTGGCCTGGCTACCAGAATGTTCTGCGTTCGATCCCCAGTTGGGTCATGGGTGTGCACTGCTGAAAAAAGACAGAGTTCAAAAATTTCTGTTAAAATCAAAGCCTAACTAAAAAGAATATATCAATACAATCGGTTGCAGAAGTTTAGGCGTATGTCGGCTTGGATTCAAAACAGGATCACATGAGTAGTTGGTGAGCATCTTACCAGTGAACTCTGCCTTTTTCACGTATATTCATCTAATTACCCTATAAGTGGTTAATCATTTTAACATCATTCCGGACCTATGTTACCTATAGTTCCTGTCAATTACATTTTTTCACCAGGTAGAAAGTATGTCCAAGTCTTTTATGTAATTTGTATTGTTCACGTTGTAGCTAGCTGAGATGAAAACACGAAATAATAAAGAATGAGCACATTTCATCCTGGAACATATGTCCTTCTTGCCTTACTTAAGCTTGATATTAGTGTTTATTCTCCTCTGTTTTGACTGGACGAGAATAACGAAAATCCTATAAGTATGTGAATATTTTCTTCATTCGCATATACAACAACAAAAACTGTGAACATAAAATATTGTCAATATGTTTTAATTGAATTTTAGATTTTCCCATCGGTTGATTGGACCGAAGTGCTCGGTCTCAGGTTGACATGTCGGCTTCTTGAGCAGATGCTTCGATGATGTCTGGGCATTTAATTAGTATTTAATTGGTGGATGGTGACTAGCACTGGAATCCAGGATGCTCATTTCTTCCTACTTGGGACTCGTCAGCTGGATGTACCTGCATTTCTCAGTGAGTGATGATGTCCCCACCGAGGCTCGAACCTAAATAGGACGAAATGGGCATCCTGGATTCCACTGCTAGTCACCATCCACCAATTAAATATTGTCAATATACTCATACATGAAAGATGTCGCTGCATGTTGCAGCATTTTAGTCAATGATTGGAAGAAAATAAGACTTTCTCTGTTGGCAGACAATAAAAAAAATCTTTACAAATATATCGAAATGTGAATTTAACAACCTGGTAGTTTCACAAACTGTTTAGTTATCGTTGACCCATATAAAAACAAAAAACACAGCTTAATCACAATGTGTATTCACTATTATGTTCCACTCTATTCATAATACATGATTCATTTCATGTTAATTTATCATAAACAAACAATAGGAAAGTTGTTTACCATTGTGTGTTGTGCTAGTTAGTTTAATGGCTACAATGTTTACCTGATCGAAAGATTTTGATCAACATTCACAATAATAATAATAATAACAATAATATAAGTATATGTCCCCATCTGTTTATGTACATGAACGAATGATTCGACCACTAATTTCCTTAATTTATATTCATCAGAGAAAATCTCTAATATCCTATTAACTGTAAGCTTACCTCTCAACTATAATCCATCTAGAAATATAGAAATCTATCCATGTTTACCCACTGATCTAGTTGCTTATATTGTAGAAAGGTCGTTATGTTCTGCATGGATTTTAAAACCCGAAATCTTATGCAAATATTAGCTGACTATAAATGAACAAATCATCATGAATTAAGCATAAGTTATATTTTAAAATATATTCATGATATATACGACCTTAAGGTGAAGAAAAATTAGGCTTAAACTCATAGTTGTATCGAGTTTATTCCATATGCTTAAAGCATATCGCCAAATTACGGATCATCATTGAACAAAGCTTGGAATGGCAGTCACCTCTCTATCTCAACTTCATCGACTTTAAAAAGGCCTTCGACAGCGTCGATCGAGAGGTGATTTGGAAACTACTTCGCTACTACGGGGTGCCACCGACAATTAAACATCTCATCCAACAGCTGTACCACAATGCTGCATGCCAAGTAATCCACAACGAGAAACTTACGGAATCCTTCGAAGTAAAGATGGGAGTAAGACAAGCTGGCTGCCTACTATCGCCAATGATTTTCCTGATTGCAGTGGACTGGATAATGCGACAAACAGCGGGCAATGAGGAAACAGGCATAAAATGGAACCTCACAAAAAACTTGGAGGATCTGGACCACGCCGATAATATATGTCTGATTTCCCACAAACTGGAAGATGTGCAAGCGAAAAGCAACAAGTTGGTAGAAGAAGCATCCATAGAAGATAGGACTTCAGGTGAAAATAGAGAAAACAGAGGTGATGAAGATTCCTGGCCAACACCACCAACAGCAACAACAACAGACAACAATCACCATAAATGGGAGGAACCTGAAAGAAACAACCTCTTTCACCTACCTGGGAAGCATCGTTTCAACTACAGGTGAGCGAAACTGACGAGGATATCAAAGCAGGAATCGGGAAAGCAAGACAAGCTCGCACTACCCTCAAGTCTGTGTGGAGGTCAACAACACTCAGCATCAAAAATAAGATCCGGATTTTCAACTCCAATGTGAAGTCAGTGCTAATATACGGATCAGAGACTTGGCCAGCGCGTCATAAAG